TGTTCAGCGGTGGACTTTAATAGGCTGTAACCATTGATTTATATATATACACTCAATGGCTGTAACGGTAACGGTAACACGTAGTCAAATTTCAACCCATTCGATGTTTATTGTGATAAGAACAGAATATTAAAGTTACGCTTGGTGGCTCAATAAGAATAACATAATTTATAATACACGCAAAATACATCGTATTAAGGTAGAGGCGTACAAAGCTCAATCAATTTCATGTTATTGGCATATTCGCGCAGAACGTAGCCAACGTGGTAATCAAATAACCAATGTCATCAAGGTGAAACACATCTACGGGCAAGCGGCCGTAGTAGATATTAATCAAAACAATTAACAAGTCGACATTCTTCAAAAGTGGGCAAACTAAATATTGTAATTGGAAACGTAATCATCATATCAGAATAGAAATCGAAAAATAGAACGAATTAAATGGCAATTTTTACAGAAACAACTCTTTAATAAAATATCTGTAAATGACTGTAACATCTAATACAAAGTATCTTAAAGATACGGTCTACCTGTGGTAATTGGATACTGTGGCCTGTATATTTTTTATAGAATAAGGGTGACAAACGAACACACAGTCCACCTGATGGTAAGTGGTTGCTGTGGCCCATAGACTTCTACATCTATCCTTGATTACGAATCAAAATGCAGATGAGTTGTCACCCGTAAGGACCAAGATGGAATGCCTCGTTTCCAGTAAAAAGGATATCCGGTTTTCTATACTCACCATACGCAACACAGCAGCATTAAGCTACTATTTTACGCTGGTATTCTGTGAGAGCGTGGTCCTCACCGGTCGAGCCGACCCATACGTGCTATAACTATACTACTAATATAACATGTAATTCTTATTGAAAATAATTTTTTACTCTTACCACTGGTCCGGGAAATACTCTGTCTTGGAAAGAACCAATAAGAAACCCAGCGGGGACATTTTTTTAAAAGTATTACTTACAATATAATATTTATACAATTGTCATGAAAACATTTATAAACAGCATCGTAGCGATCACCTCATTCCCAGGGTTTATTATTAAACATGTTCTCTTTGGTAGTATCGTAGAATACTACTATAATACACAATAGAATAGCTGTCAACCTTATTTTGTACGAGGATAGGCGTCGCCGGGTGTTGTCACATGTTTCTCCTTGTAATTAATGGATATAAAAGTTTTATAAAAATCGGAGGTATTATGTATATCGAGTGTTTACTATTGTTACCGAGTTAGTTTGACTAAAAACCATTTTTTATCAATATCTTAGTGCCAAGGAAGCTAATGCACAAACAAAGAACGACTCACATACCTTGTAACCTTTGATTTAGATTAAAGAGTATTTATATTTCTTTTGCAGCTAAATTATTCCTATAGTCCGTTCGCGTTAAGAAAATAGTGAGTCATCAGTGCAACTACAGGGTAAAGGTGTATTCACAGTGGAGTAAAAATTCTTTGTTTTTAAACATTTAATTAAGTTTAATGGAAACAAATTTTCTTAAAATTACTTAAATCACTAATCATTATCGCGAGATTCTCCAGTTACATTAATTATGAAAGAATTTTGTTCTGCAAGTTCGATAATGTCATCCAAATTCCACATGGTATTTTCTTCGCGTATCACGTAGTCGCAGCACTTTTATCCAACGATTAGCGTCTATTAATGCTATTGCGTCATCTAATAATTTTTTATGTCACGCATTTTGAACGTGGAGTTATTGGCACCAACATAATTTTTTATTTGGGTCCAAACCAATTCTTCGCCTACAGCCTTACCATTGCAAACTTAATCCAATTGGATTAAGTTTGCAATGGTAAGGCTGTGGGCGAAGAATTGTAATGCCATTACTTTTGGCAGTCTCATCTATTAAATATTTATTATATTGTGGGGCGATTTTGGCAACTTTCATTAATAATTCTTTTTTTTAAATAAGTCATGTCCATTGATTTGCCTTTGCTTTGTAGCCAATCTGTTATTTGCTGCTTGTTCCAGCTGGTTGTTGGTATTTTTTCGACTCTTACCGAATGATAGAGAGCGTTATCCATGACAACCACACTTCCTGGTTCTAGCTTTGGCATTATATAAATGAACCAATTAAGTCGCATTTAAATCACACAGTTTGAAAGTACTTATGAACATTGTAAATTACGCGTCTCTCTCCGCTATGGTTTATTGATCCACTTTTATTCTTTCGAAGAGGTGAGGTATTCATTTTCAAAATTTAATATTGAACGAGTAACACACAAAATATACAACCATTTTGTACGAAGGCCTGACTTCAACTGGTCACTGTGAACTCGGCTTTCTAATTTCTTGCATTTTAAATGGCTGGGGGGTGTGGCCAGGCCGGCGGACAACGATGACTCACTATTTTCTTAACGCGAACGGACTATATTGAATTTAAAGGGGAGAATTTTCGAATTTAACATTGAAAGTGTGACTCGGCTAAAAAGATTGAACTGTCGATCTCAAACAAGTTTTCAGGCCGGAATCACAGAGCTAAAACCTAGTTTTAAGTGACAGATAGTGGAACGAGTGTGGGCATTGAACGAACACATCATGTCGCCCTATCAGCTAGTTCACGCTTCGCTTCTCGCCGGCTTATCGTCAGGCCTCAGTGCCTTTGTGCTTTCAAAGAAATTTAAAGTAGAAGAAAGTATGTAATGTTAGTAAAGGCTACGTTGATTTAAGCTTGGCTTATGTATTTGTTGAAGCAGTAGAATAAATTTGAAATGATTGCTTTTAACCGACATTTGTTAGTTTTTCGTAGATTCTTTACACTCTATGCCCAGGAGTGGGACGTGTAAGGGCTGTAACATTTCTATAGTTATGGTTGGAGTATGAACCTAGATCTTCATATTCAGTTACACCCCGGTTATTAAACTACTCGTTCGTAAATAACACATAATATGTCCCTTGTGTGCCCATTCTGGTTGTTTGTATATTTGCAGGAGATGTATATAGGTTGTAACTTTTACTTTAACTCTATCCTATCATAAGAGATCTTGTAGAATAATGGTGTGTGTCATAAATTATTTTTCAAACATTTTCATCTTCGATTTGCTTTAAGGTACAAAGTGGTAAAGTTAATTTACGGTCTTGAAATCTATCTGAATTGGTATCACTCTTTTATATACCTTCTCAATCTCAGAAGTAACAGCGCAGCTTTCTTCATTATTGTCCTAAAACCTAACGGTTATGTGATAAAATTAGCGGTAGGCTAACGATACAGTGGCAGGACGGTCAAAACTTACACAAATGTTTGCCCTGGACGGAGTTCTAAATCCAGAGGCCACGGCTAATCAAAATCAGTTAGATAAATGATTACTCGTACCGTAAACGTAAGCCAATAGATAATAATATAAATATTTGGTCGCTTCTTCAAATGAGTTTATCCCACTCAATCAACTGATCATCTGAGGCGACTGGGACTTCGTGGCATAGCTTCAGACTCAAACGCAGAAGGCGGTGCTACTCGATACCATCTGCGTCCTCCACTGATTTCATTCCCGTTCCTGGACCTTTCTCCCTCTGAACCGTTTCTTTTATTTATTTAACTATTATTTTATTTTACGTATCTACATATATCTATACCTGATGAACTTTCATTGTATATTTTATAAGCATTTTGTATAATGACCAAAGAACACTTTAGAAATACACAAATATATATTTCTGACAGCTTATATCTGGATAAGGTAAAAAGTAAACATTATTCAAGATGAGACAAACCACTCAAGTATATTTTCATTTCGTTAACTCAATTTTGTATTACGTATGTTTAGGGTTGGGCCCTTGTGCCTACAATCTCTAATCAACTTCCATAAACGGTACAATGTAATTTAGAATTGTGGCCGAAACAGAAGCGTAACCGCAGACGGTGGAAAAGTGGCGCGATAACAGGTTGTATTTGTAATTTCATCCAATTCCCGCGGCAATTCACGTTCTGTTATGTAGTGCCTAATAGTAGGGAATGCTCCTACGCATTTCTATTTTAATTTAGAAAAGGATACAATTTCGAGAAACGTCCTTCGTTTCTGCGTTCGTGTATAAATTTAGTTTCCATTATCATTTTGTTTACTGAATAACAAACATTACGTATATTTGAGGATTTTTTTATGTTTTTTCTCTTCTGTTGAATTTATTTTAATATGCAACGGTAAAATTTTTTAATGGTGCCTCAAGTTCGTTTTTTTTACGATCTTCCGTAGAATCCTTACCCTTTAGTCTGCGTCCAATTTTTCCATTGCGTTTGAGCGGACTTAAATAATTTTATATCATGCAGTGAAGGTGTAGATTTCCTTACAATGTTCCTCACATCGTGAGGAAACCTGCATGCCTGAGAAATGAAAAAGATTTTTCGAAGACAAGTGAAATCCGCCAAACACGCATTGGGGCAGCGTGGCGGGCACTTCCTTGCTCTAAAACCCTCTCAGAAGTGAGAGGACACCTGTGCCCAGCAGTGAGACGTATATAGGTCGTAACTTTAACTTTAAGCGAGGTGTCACGTCGCGCGGCTGGTGAGCACGTGGTAAATGTAATGGCACGTTCACACCTTGCGCAACGGCGTTCACTGCTGGTGTCTCAAAGCTCCCGATTCTCATCGGTCGGCTAGGCTTATGCGTAATTCACACGAGACGAGTGTTGAATTATTTTAATTTTTTATTACCTCTTAAGCTACGCGTCCAAATAACATGCTATAAGTGGCAAAGTTTGTTTCCGTAAAATTTTCTTGACGGTGAAGTAACTTTCGTTCGTAAGCCAAACTCAGCCAAGCTTAACAAAAATCATTATTTAAGGCTAGCTGTAAAGTGTTGCCTTATGCTAGATAGCCTAATCTGGCTACTATATACAAAAATAAGTTTTCAAATCGCACTGGTAGTTCCAAAAACATATATATTTAGTTTACAAAAAATAAATAAATTCCGCTTTATTATATTGGTATAAATTTATCAAAATCGTTTTATTATAAACTTATTTGTCATCAGATGCGGTCTCCATGCCGACTTCACGGAGCTGACGGCGTGTGTGGGCGGCGAGTTGGACCGGCATGAAGGTTCTGCCGTCCATAGAAGATATTTTTATATCACGCTGCTGCGGGAGCCAGTCGCTAGGTAAATAATTGTTTTTTATTTTTTATTTTTCAGTGACATATTTTTTTTCTTTTTCTTCCTTTTTAGACGTCCGACCTTTGACGATGCTCCCTGTTGACGATATAGGTATTTAAGTCTGGCCTTAACCACATGGTTATTCCACTATCTATCGGAAGGTTATGAAATGTGCAGAATATTTCTGATATATCGCATAGTCGCCGCTTCCACCCACGGGAAGAAATGGAGTGATTGACTTTCTTGAGCCGCTACACTTTTTTATAGAATAAGGTGGCCAAACGAGCACACAGTTCACCTGATAGTAAGTGGATGCTGTGGCACATAGACGTATACATTTATCCTCAATTAAGAATCAAAATGCATATACGTTACCACCCCTGAATACATAAGATGGAATGCCTTGTTTCCAGTAAAAGGAGTCAACATCTTATAATATTATTACTACTTACTAAATCTAATCTATAGAGTCTAATGTTCTTGTTAATACCATGTATTTATTAATGTGGGTAGAACCTGACTTATAGCGAATAGACATAGCGTGCGTAATTTTTATATATAATTTTATTAAGTAATTAATAAATAATTAATTTTTATTTATAATTAATTTTTTTTTTGCGGCTATTCCTGTAGTAATACAAAAATTGGTGCCCTGTTATAAATTTTGAGAAATCACAAGCAATAATAGAAAAATAATATGTATATAGGGAGAATAACATATATATTGAGAGTACTTGTGTACGCGGTGACAGTGCTGCTCGTCTGTAAAACATAATTCCTTATCAATATATATAGTGCATTAAGTGTCGTCAAAGTGACTTGAAAGTGCACGTTATTAAAAATATTATATTTGTATTAACATAAAACTTTTGTTCAGTTTGCTTTATACGTAGTGTAGCTAAATATTTGAAAGTGATATAATGCATTTGAATTTCTAAAGGAAGGTATATTTGTAACAAATTAAGCATTACGCATTTTACCTTCATAAACAGAATACGTAAAAATACTTAATAACATGATGTAAAAAATCATCCAAGCTAACAGAGCTACACTTGACATAATGTCCGTTCAGCTTATAATCGGGAGGGCAGATCGTATATAATTTTGTTGTGTAAAATTATTTGTTGATTTATGTTTAAAATAGATCATTACTAAGTATTTAAGTTTAGTTCAAATAAAAGAACCACGTTAAAATTGTCAAATGAGCGGTAAAAAAAATGGAAACTAGTACTTATAACATAACTATTAGATGTCTACGAAAAAATTTATCATATGAAGAGGATTTATATAACACAACTCAGTTAAATTCTACAATTGTTAGTTTACTAAATTCCCCACTAAATGAAAGCCAAACAACAAACAAAATAAAAACACGGCTAGAAAATGTTATCATTGAACTTGAGTCGGCAAACGCGGAAATAGAGAATCTAAACTATGATAATACACAATAACTGCTTCAGTCTGTGCCAAGCCGACAGTCGTCGATGACTGTTGGTCCAGACTTACTCGTATATGGGGTGTATCTCACTTTTACTTTCTTTGTTTAGACTTTGTGCAATAGTGGCACACGTATGTAGTTAATTTATAACCTGTATTACAGTTGCTACACTACTCAGTGCATTCAAGATAAATGTTGAAAAAAAAATATTGTTAATTTTTGTAGCTCTTTGAAAACTGCCATAATAGACTAATTCGAACACATTTTGATACATTTCAAAGCAAAAAATAACATATATGTTTTTTTGTAATCAGATGAATAAAAGATCGATCGAAGATTATGACGCACGAAATAAATTTCGCATACTAATTTCCCTAAAGCCCACATGCCCTCGCCCGCCTTTCAAAATATCCCGATAGAGCAGTTCTGCTCGAATTGTTTATTGTAATAATACTGAGATTGGAATCTGTTTGTTTTAGGTACTTATCGGAGTATCGGCACGTGAAGCGAGGCGCCACGTGGAAAGGCTCCCGGCACTGGTGTCAAGGCCGGACTGCTACTGGTAAGCTTATTAAACATTGAGTTAATAATTAATTATAAATAGATGTAAACATAGGATAGTTATTTGCGATTTCTGAAATGTGTACTCAAAATCGTTTAAAGTAAGTTTAACAAAAAAATCACAGCCAGTTTTAAGATGAACAATTTAAAAATGTGTTTAATGTATAAGTAACGTATGACAAAGGGAATATAATAGTTCCATTCCATTAGAACTTAAATTAACTCTTAATTATGTCTTAAAGATGTTAAAAAATAAATAGCTAAGATCTGCACCATAAAATAAAATAATACCAATTGTAAAGAGCACCTGCCGCCCTGATTTTTATATATAATAAGGGTGACAAACGAGCACACAGTCCACCTGATGGTAAGTACATGCTGTGGACCATAAACATCTACATTTATCCTCAATTAAGGGTCAAAATGCAGATGCGTTGTCACCCCTACCGACTGAGACGTAATTCCTCATTTGCAGTAAAAAGAGTGTCCGGTTCTTTATAGTCACCATACGAAACACAGCAGCATTAAGTTGCTATTTTACGCTGTTATTCTGTGAGAATGTGATCCCAGCCCGGTAAAGTCGAACTATTCGTGCTGCAACAATAATAAATCTGCAGCGTGACTCTACCACGTGAAATCCCCTCCTTCAATTGCGTGGAGGAAAACCACGTGCCACGTGGCGTATTATCGACGGTGGTGTGTCTTTCCTTGTATAGTGGTGGGATTAGTGGTGGCGGGTGTAGTGTAGTATAGTATAGTATAGTGCACGCAATTGCGGGACGGCTCTTCCAATTAGTAAGCCACATCATTTTATTTTATTACGTGGGTCTTAGCCAAATCTTTCTTAACACTTATAATATAATGACACTAGGAGAAACGTTTCACTAGGAGTTTTCTTTTGCGTACGACCTCTCTGTGGAATAGTTTACCACCGGCGAGTTTTCCGTACCGATACGAACTGAGGACCTTCAAGAAAAGAGCTTACTCCTTTCTAAAGGGCCGGCAACGCACCTGCAATTCCTCTGGTGTTGCGGTTGATCATGAGCGGCGGTAGTCACTTAACATCAGGTGAATAATATGTTCGTTTGCCCACTCTTTTACGAAAAAAAAAAAATGGATTTCCACAATATTGTTCACAAAGTGACGCCTGATTCTATTATTTAGTTATATCTTTTTTTGTTCTTCAGTTTTACACGTGGTAGAGCAATGCTGCAGTTAATAGTATAGTCGAAACACGAATGGGTCGGCTCGACTAGGGGAGGGCCACGCTCTCACAGAATACCAACGTAAAATAACAGCTTACCGCTGAGTTGTTTAGTATGGTGAGTATAGAAAACCGGCAAAACGAGGCGGAATGTCTTATTCCTCATGGGTGGCGACGCATCTGCAATTTGATTCGTAGTCGAGGATAGATCTAGATGGCTATGGGCCACAACAACTACTTACCATCACGTGAACTGTGTGCTAGTTTTACACTCATATCCTATAAAAAATCTACCGATTAAATAGCCCGTCTTTCGGATTTCGAAAATATATGTTTTTTGGGTGAAACCTCCTTAAAAATTAGAAGAGGCCTGTGTTACGAAGGTTGACCAACATAGCATGCAGTAATATTTTTAACGTTATAACAAACAATAACACAAAGTACAAATCACAATAATACGTTCAAAATATTATTTTTATTCATTTTTAGGCAGTAGGCTACTTCTTTTCTTTCATAGACCATCCTAGGATCAGAGAGAAGAAGCTCTGAAGAGTAAACACTACTTTCTTCCCAGTTGAATAATTTTGCCTAATATTCGGCCAGGAAGTCAGCAGAATATTCGGCATTCGGCGTGCGGCCGAATATACGATTCGTTTCAAGTCTATACATTATCATTCCTATTATGTCTTATGTCAATCACAAGTACGTCTTATATGCAAATATTCGACCATAGTGCCAGATTTCAAACACTGTCGCATCTATAAACTGCACCTGAAATGATGAATGGAAACTCATGCGCACCATATGATAAATAGCTTTATCAGCTTCTCGGTGTTTAACGTCCCTAATAGCTATTAACACTACTATTTTTGCATTCAAATTAAAAAAAATATATAATCATGATAAGTAGGTAGTGAGCTAGTGACCAGACAAGTAGGAATACTTCTCGCAACTTCTCATGGAGGTTAGAGAAAAGGTGAACGATCGCTACGTGCTAAAGCATTAGCCCGCCTGTCCCTGAAAATTTGTAAAATTTATAGCCGCGCTGCCGTCGGTAAGTAGCATCTGCGAAGTTAACTGTTTATAAGTACAAGTAGATGAAGTTAGTTGAATAATGTACAAATTTAATCGTAAAAATATAGTATAATAATATAGTAAAAGCACTTGTGTAGTATAAAATTCGACGGCGACGGCTTTTTTCAAGTCCCAGGATGAAGCCTTTTCCTTCCAAGGGGATTAACCAACTTGCAAGACACTATTCAAGATGTGGTGAGAGAGCTAGATTAGAATGCGATTACGTTTAAAAATAAATACAATTCACATAAATACTTATCTTAGTTTCATTGCCTTTCCAAAAACTTATCGATCAACATAGTAGCAGCAACAGTATAAAGCTGATGTAACAGGTTGGAGGTAATAATATTAATTTATTTTTTGAATTTTACTTTTTTTTTTAATCAAAGAATATTAAGCTGAAAGGTAAGAGGGAAAAGAAAACGCACTGATGTGTTTTCTAAGGGAGAGTGAGTGAAGAGATCACAGGTATTATCCAAGTGGTTAGATGCATCGAAAAGTATATATACTTGCTCAAGATTAACACTTTGATAAAATAGCTAATATCAATGAAGTTTAGGTTAAATTAATAGTTACTTTATAAATAAAAGCGAAATACCCTTGACTGACTGACTCATCACGACATCAAACTATACACCCGATTGGTTAATTTTAATTTAATATAGTTACTTATTTCACAATGACGACGCTTCTTAAGTACGGATGCTTTAAAAAAATAATAAGTTCCACTATAAAATATTATCGTGCGCCCAGCGAAGCGAGTGGATATCAGCTAGTCAAATATAAATGACTACTGTATTAGCCAGTGTACTCAACATAATGTAGTTAGAGGCTTGGAATCAAATCCGTGGCGAAGTTTTATAGCATACAAATTACATTTCACACAGCTTTACGTAACTATTCGTGTCTTGATTTGCTTCCTCGTTCTCTGATATAAGATATAAGCGGCGCTTTAGACATGGGCAGATTAGGACGAGTGGATAGTTGGCGCTTGCTGCAAGCGAACCACCCACTAGTACGATTATCGCTGTAGTACATCTTGCATAACATCATCAAGTCTTGATGAAGTCTACTGATAGAATTGGGTTACTACTGTTGAAGGCAGAAATTTTCATAAGCGCCACGCTTGGCAGGCGATCGTAGTACCAGGCATTTAATACTATTTGATACTGCATTCGCACTATCCAAAACACAAACGACTCAATAAGACTCACTTCACACTTAATTCATTGCAATACGACAACATGTGTTTATCAAGACACCACGCGGCACTTTACTAAAGATTGGAAGCATTTCGCGGAGCGTGAGTTTTAGCGGCGTATATATATATATATATATATATAAGTGCAATAATCATATACATACTGTAATACACTGTAATTCAACGTATGTTTCACATGGATGCTGTGCGGTGTACGCCCGCGCGTAGCGGGGCGGGGCTTATACCGTTGTTGGAAGTAAAGAAGGTGAAAAAAATATGATTAATCACCGTACAGTATCTATTGATTATTTATTTATAATTAATAAATGCCACGTTTTAATACTTTTATTGTACCGTAGTTTGTTTTTATGTAACCTTGAAATTTATGTCAATGGAGAGGATATGATATATCGACGAAACAACATACAGACTTCCATTTGGCACGATCCTGACACACCTCTCTCGCCTCCTTCACATCCATACACCTACGCATACATGCTCGTCGGTTAAGGATACTACTAATTTGGCCCGTTTTCAATAAATCGCCAATTTGGTCGATAAATTTTCGCCTAGGACGTCCCTTTCCGACTCTGCCATTCACTTCTGCAACATAAATTTTCTTTGTCACTCTTTCCTCATTCATTCTTTCCACATGACCAAACTACCGAAGCATTCCTTTCTTAATCCTGGTCACAACATCATCTTGCAAATCACACTCTTCTCTTATTACACAATTTCTTACCCTGTCGTTCAGATTCAGCCCTAACATACTCCTTAACGACCTCATTTCTACTCGTTGATTCTACTCTCGTGCTTCTTATGCCACACCCAACTTTCACTACCATACGTTAATGTAGGGACCAACACAGCATTGTGAATTGCCACACATTTTGACTCTTCACAATAGAGTGCAGGGCCCCATTTACTCTATTTCTCGCATCCCGCATTACATATTTAATATAGTAGCATAATATTAAATAATATTAATGTTATAGATATAGGAATTTCTGATGTATTCTTATCTTCACCAAGGTTTCCTGAAGCTAAGATTATATCTTATTCTATTAAACGCTCGACCATATAATTAATATTATGGTGAATCGTTTAAGAAAATTGTTGCAGTAGTTGTTCAAAATGTTAAATAGGAAAAATAAATATACGGTGAGGGTACACGATAAATGTGATTAGAAGTCCCTGATTACTATAAAATTTTTAATTATTACATATATGTTAGAAGTAGAGCCGTAGTAGCATAGGACTTAAGCGCTCGTTCCAAATTTCACAGTACGCGAGCAACCCGGGTTCGATACCCGCCGGCATCAATGAAATTATTCGTTGCAATTTTAAGTGCTGATTTAACACGTGCTCGGCGTTGAAGGAAAACATCGTAGGGAAACTTGCATGTCTGAGAAATATGAATAACAATATTTCGAAGACATGTGAAGTTCGCCAACACGCATTGGAGCAACGCGGCGGACATTTCCTTTCCTTTAAGTCGTCTCAGAAATGAGGGAAGGCCTTGCCCAGCAGTGGGACGTATACAGGCTGTAACTTTACTTTATGTAGGTTAAAAATTACTTATAACATTAAAAATATTGTTATTGATATAATTTTACATTAAACGATTGGGGCTGATCTGTTAGTGATCGTGTAACAATCGTCAATCGGTCGATCATCGTGAGTGTCTGAACCACTTCACCACTTGTAATAATGTTCACACGATATATTTTATTTTGTCGAGATGGTGTTTTATTGCTATGCAATGCTCCGATTGATGGCGCTGCAAGTGAGGTATCAATGAACATTGTAAAAAGTTCGAAGTTAATTTAAATGAAGTTAATTAATGTGAAACTAATCGCGCTACCTACGGAAAGGGCAGAACAACGTTTGCCGGGCTAGTTAGTGTTTTATATGAAATAATAATTAACTTAATAAAGTAAAAAGTTACAGCCTACATACGTCCCACTTCTGGGCACAGGCCTCTTCTCATTTCTGAGAGAGTTTTTAGGGCAAGGAAGTGTTCGCCGCGCTGCCCCAATGCGTGTTGGCGAACTTCACATGTCTTCGCAATATTTTTTTTTCTTATTCTTCAGACATGCAGGTTTCATCACAATGTTTTTCTTCACCGCCGAGCACGTGGTAAAATCAGCACTTAAATTTGCAATTAACAATTTCATTGCTGCCGGCGGGGATTGAACCCGGGTTACTCGCGTTCTCTTATATTTACAGCGAGCGTTAACCATCTAAGCTACCACGCCTCCTTAACTTAACTTATGAACTTAATGATCTCCTAAAAACATTTCGGGCTTGTTTTTGCCATCGCAACGGTACTATATAAATTTGTGTTTTCAGCGTCAGAAGTACCGCCGTGCTACACGGGCGAGTCTTGGCGGGGTGTAACCTTAGAAGAGTTTGCGGCGTGTCCATGGAACTTGGCCAACAACCGCCAAACGCGCATGTTGGCCGACTTGGCCCTTGTGGGCTGTTATAACGGCACTTTACGGCATCGAACGTTGGACACAGAAAGGGTTCTTCTTGCGTCTGCCAAGAGAAATCTCGCCGCAATGGCCTACTTCGGGCTTACTGAATTTCAGAAGGTAACTGTTTTTATTAGTTTCTAAAGTATTTTTATAGCTTAACTGAGAATTTTACTTTATTGAAGTATATATTTTATTGAGATATTCTCTAGAAAAAAGTTCCATATTTCAAACTTTGATTTTTTAATATTAAATACCTCGGTAATCAGAACATACAAAATTTACGCCCTGTTCGGATTAATGAGTAGATATTTTTATAAACTAGCCCCAGAAATACAGGTATAATGTCCTAGTTTAGGGGCTGTTGACCACTGTAAATTTTTGTACATATAATATAAGGTGTTTTTTGAAATTAAAACAGATTTTGTAAATGAAAATGAATGCAAATTTTAACACGTACAACATTTTAAATCTAGGATGTACTGACATGGTGTTTAATTACAAAGAAAATGCTTTATCCCCGAACGTACGCAATAACTTTTTTTTAGAAATTGAAATACCTACTAGAGCAGGGGGCGTTCGGATTATAGAGGCGTTCGAATTATCAGGGGTTTGGATTATCGAGGCTCTACCGTACTATCCATAACATTAAACACTTGCGATTGTAGCCACTTGGTGAAATTCCAGCTTCATTTTGTGATTTGGATACACACTTGTGAAGTACAAGTGTAGGTATATGTATGTGTTCATAGTGTTTATTTAAATTATTAAATTACTAACTACAATAACCGACTGATTTTACCTCATGGCATCATCATGGTGTATAAAAATAACGAACATGCATATATAAGTCTAATATATTATAAGTTTGTTATACAAATATAAGTATGATATTTCCCCGAAGAAGTTCAACAGTCCTTTGATGTTGCCAGCAACTTCGGAGAGCGATGCCGACGTGCCGAGATGTTTAGCCCTGTATGAAGCGACTTCTGGACATGTCAGCAACACGTGAGCCGCCGTTTCTTCCTCTCCCATGTATGCCCTGCACAGGGGGCGGTCAGTAACACCTATGGTGAACAAATGTTTGTTAAAAGAGCCATGTCCTGTGATAGCACTTACACTTTTACTATCCTGATCTGTGGCTTGTTCAGTCTCATTCGACCTTGGTTAGACGGCTGTTTATTTCAGGAAGGGCCTCCCTAGCTTGTCTACAGTCTACTAAATTTTTCCAAAGCTAAGTGTGTAAATTATTGAAGTATCTACGTACCAGTGAACGAACGTAGCCAAAGGGGATCGGTATTATTGGTTCCGGCCCTGTAGTTGCCAGAGCTGATGATTGATCCACTGTGTCCCTTGATCTATTGCAGAGTCACATTGTTGTGCTTACATACCTCATTCAATCGTTGATGGCATTCGTATATCAGTCCCGAGTTCGTCACATTGCAACTCAGAGCTTGTAGTACCGCCATACTGTCGGTCAGTATTCTGATGGAGAAGTCTTTCACCTTCCTAGCATCTATTGCTATAGCCGCTTGGATGACACCTATGCATTCAGCCTGGAAGACTGTGTTATGGGCACCCAGCGGTGTGCATATGTGGATATTAAGGTCTTCAGAGAAAGTCCCAGACCCCACACCTTCATTTGTCTTAGAACCATCCGTGAAAACTTTCAGCTCTCTTTGACCCAATCCTTCCAGATGGTCAGTTTCCTTCAATTGTATCCTGTACTTCTTATCGAATACAAATTGTTTTGGGATCCTATCGTACTTGACTTGTAAGATAGGAATTTTTGAGTAAATTCTATCAATTATATCTGTATGGGGGACTCTACTCTTACTTAAAAGATTTAGGGTCTTGAGTCTAATGGCAGCTAAAGTTGCTTCTTGTTGTATATGTAGATAAAGCGGTGTTAGCTCCAGCATAGCCTCCAAAGCTGTTGTTGGTGTAGTCCTTATGCAGCACGTGGCAGCCATACAAGCCAATTGGTAACGCTGAAGCTTTCGTATAGTGGTGGCTTCAGTGGTTTTGGTCCACCATACCAGAGAGCCATATGTGATCATGGGCCGAATTACAGTTTTGTACAGCCGTAGTATAATTTTTGGCGTCAAACCCCATCGTTTGCCAATCATGTTTCTGCATTGCCAGAAAGTTAAACTAGCTTTGTTGATTTTGTTTTCTATGTATTTATTCCAGTTAAGTTTACTGTCCAAGGTATTTTACCTCGGAGGAAAGCTGGAGTTTTGTGCTGAAAAGACTTGGAAGATGATAGTTATTCAGCATTCGTTTTGTGTGAACATTACTATAACCGTTTTGTTTAGATTAACGGTTAGGTCATATTCCCTGCACCATCTCTCAACAATACGGAGAGCCGCTTGGGTCAGGTCGCATACAATGCTTGCTTTCCAGAGACCAGTATTGTCAGATCATCTGCATAACCGACTGTGTAGAAATGGTTAGCGTTTAACTTGCTGATGAGTTCATTAATGACTATATTCCACAGGAGAGATGAAAGAACCCCACCCTGCGGGCATCCTTTCATGTTCTGAATTGTCTGAGATTCATCAGCAATTTTTTATTGTTCGTGTACTGAGCATGTTTACTATCCAGTCAATCAGTGCCGGTTCAACATTATGTCTACTTAGGGCACCTTTTATGCTGGAGAAATTTGTTCTGTCAAAAGCACCTTCTAAGTCTATGAAGGAGCCTAGACATATTGCTTTGTTTTGGATGGCCTCTTCAATCTTTGTTATTACATGGTGAAGTGCCGATTCTGTTCATTTACCTAAGCTATAGGCGTATTGTTTTTCGTGTAGCGGTAAGTTAATTAGCGCCGACCCTCTCAACTCCCGTTCACACATCCTCTCCATTGTTTTTAGGAGAAAGTATGTGAGTCTAATGGGTCTGTATAGTCGTTCTTACCTGGTTTGGGTATGAACGTGACTTTCACTTCCGTCCATCCCCTAGGAACATATTTAAAAGCCAAACATACTCTCATTATGGCAACAAGTCTGACTGTTAGGACTTTACCCCCCCCACTGCAGAAATGCCGGGAATAAGCCGTCAGGCCCTGCTAGGGTTGGAAACTATGAAAGGCCTGATGGATTTTGTCCATCGTCACCACTCTTTGTGTTAAGTCCCAGTCTTCATTTGTTGGTGTCAGTGCATGCCGGTTCACCCTTTCAACTGCACAGCAACCTGGGAAGTGAGTATCAATTAGGATGCGTTGGGTTTCATCCGGCGATGTTGCGTAGCTTCCGTCGGGTTTCTTTAAAGATATAGATCCCGGCGTGTTCTGTTTAGCTACGATTTTTCTTATTCGATTTGCTTGTTCACAGGTTTCTATGCTACCACAGAATTTGCGCCATCCTGTTGAGCGTCGATACCTGATACATTTTTTGTATTCAGACTTAGCTTCCTTATATAGTAGCCAGTCTTCATCCATTGAGGTATTCATTGCCCTATTTAGGGCTTTTGTTACCTTCTTACGTTTCCTGTCTAGTTCTTTACCCCACCACGGTTGCTTTTGCTCAGCATGTTTTGGTGGAGTGATTACTGGACATGATTCATGGTAGCTATCGATCATGGCTTTAGTGATAGCTGCTACCTGCACTTCTAGGAGCGATTGATCTGATATGGTATTAGTTCCCCCAACACCCGCGAGCGAAGACGTCAGCCTATTGAGGTATTTTGTTTTATCCGTCTTGCGGGGATTTCTCCATGGAAGTACAGCGGGGATATCGACCTGTGGTACGCAGCAGAACCATCTGTGGTCTGAGCATGAGGCCTCTTTCGACACATGTCATCCCGTTATTAGTTTAGCTGCTCCTTCTGTTGCAAGTGTGAGGACGATTATTGTGCGACAGCGTTTGTTTATAAAAGTTTTGTTCAGAACCAGTGTTTAAAATGGTTAGGTTAGTGCTAAATAAATATTCAACTAAAACCTTACCTCGTTCTTTGGGTTTTTCCATTCCCTAAAGGGGGTGATGCGCATTGGAGTCCGTCCCGATGACAACCTCTAGTCCGGCCCTCTCACAGAAATTCATCAAGCCTGACGAGGTCGTGAGGGGGGAGGGGTGTCTTCCTCAGGCATGTAAACCGAGGCGACGACTAACCTTCCCTCCTGTGTGTTTTGTAATGCTTACGGCATACATGTCTCTGGAACAGAAATCTGTTAATGATTTTGCACAGATATCTTTAGTAGTATAAATACACGCTCTAGGCTTGTGCTCAGAGTTGTAGAATAACTAACCTTTTAGGTTGTTTAGGCCTTTAATTTTACCAGCCCCCACCCATGGCTCCTGGATTAGGGCTATGGCCGTCCTTTGTGCCTCCAACCACTTGCGTAATTGAGCCGACGCTGTTTCACTATGGTGGAGGTTGGCCTGCACTAGGCTAGTTTTGGACGAAGGGCACGCCATCATAGATCGCGTCATCGCCGTCCCCGCCCAAAAATAAGCCTGCCAGCAGATCCCGGGTCTCATCGTCAGCCATCGAGTCGGAATCGGACGGCAAAATGCAGTCCTCTTCGTCACTGAGCCCAGTTTCCACTGAGGCTTCTATATATATATATATATATATATATATATATATATATATATATATATATATATATATATATATATATATATATATATATATATATATTAGGTATACATATATTTTTGTTGAATTATAGATATGGTTGAAAAAAAATTTTTACAATTACTTTTCCCTTTGCCCTTGTAACGCTGCGACGTGATAAGGTCAAAGATGCCTACTAAATTTATTGTTTTATTGTCGTTTGTATAGTTGGATGGATATGATTTCAATTTTGATAAATTTTAATTAATTTATTTATGTAATTCAACATTTTTGTTTTTATTTTTTACAAAAACACACTCTGTTCACACTCTGTTCTATTCCGTTCACATGTTACACCCTTTTTTCCAGACGATAAAAAATGTCAACCCATACATTTATCTTATCGTAACGGTCACATGGTCATACGGTATATACTTTCTTCCCATTCCAAAAGTGCCAAAGTTTTCACGTCAAAAAATTCTCCTCTTCTCTAATCCATCCATTCTGCGAAGTTCTTGACCAATCCTCGTAGCATAAAGTGGCGAAATGGCTATACTTCT